TACCGTTACCATGATGTCTCCTAATTTGTCCCATGGCTGCTGCCAAGCCTCCCATAGATCCCTCCTCTAACATTGTAGTCCATCTCTTGGGTTCCATGTAGTACTGCCCTTGCCTGCCAGCCAGCCTTGAAACCACTAAGCAAACAACACACCAAAAACACGGATTTGGTGGGACACCTGAGTGGCTCAGGTGATTGTTTGATCTGTGACTTTGGCTCAGGTCATGATCCCTGGGTTGTGAGATCGAGCCCCATGTTGGGATCTGTAAGCAGTGGAGAGTCTGCTTGAGATTCTCTGTCTCCCTTTCCCCCACCACCACCCCCTCAAATAAATAAATCTTTAAAGAAGTAAAATAAATTTAAAAAAATAAAAAGTAAAATAACAAGGGTTTGGTGCCCTAGGTCTTGGCGCCAGGTGTACCCTCATTTCCAATATAGGGTTTCAGCACAGCACTCTATTATGACAGACCTGGCCTTAATCACTATGATCCCCTTTCCAGAATTTTATCCCCTTGAGATCCTCTGGTGAAACATAGCCTATCTTCAAGTCACTTCCAAACCTTGTTGGTCAAAACTGTGGTTTCAGCATACGGTGATCAGGGATTTTTTTTTTTTTTTTAAGTGACAATGGATTTAAAACTACCCTCACCCATGCTACTATAAGGGAGTTGACGACATTTCTTATGCTTTAGCTTAGACTGATTTAACTTGAAGGTAGATTCAACTCCAGGGATTCACCACTGTGATTAGAAAGGAACACATCTGCCTGGACTGAACCATAGGAAGCATTTGTTTTCATTTACCTGAGATGCCACTTACTCACCTGGAATGCACCTTAATCAACATTCTGCCCAATAGGTACTTACCTTGACTTGCTTGGGATGATGGTTCATTCTCAGCATGAGGGACAAAGTGATGGGGAAATTAATGGGATGGGAGAAAGGAATGCTGAGTTTACCCTTCAACTCAGAGACACTCTTCCCAGGAGGAATATCAGAATTCCAATTCTGAAAATTGTGAAATCTGAGTCATCTCATCATCAGCTTAATGAGGTCTGGGAATTGACTCATATTGTCCTCTCGGTAGGGATTGTCCAGCCCGTTTTTTTTTTTTTATTTATAGATTGTGTAACAGTGTGGGGCAGTGTCTTATTGAAACCAGTACCTCCTAGCTGGTAATAAAAATGCATTCCCCCAAAGGGTAACGTCAGGCTTGGTTGGGATAAGCAGGACTGTCTCAGTGCTCTGGAATTCCACTGAAAAGCTTTCAGGGCCCACAAGTGATACTTACATTGGGTTGGAGATGGGAGAAGAAATAACTCGTTAAGGCCGAGTGAAGGTTGATCCTGCATTTCCAGCATCTGGTTCTTCTGAGGATACAGTAAAACTGTCAGTCACTTATCTCTGTGTCACCTGCCTAGCTCAGCATCCTGCTTTCCTAGCAGGGACCCTTCCAGTAAACATTTGTGCAAAGAGGAAGGTTGGATTATCTGCCATTAGTGTCACCACTAGGGCCACATTCTAGTGATCCCTGAGAAATCAGCATATTTTGTGAGAACTCAATACCAGTTTTGATGGTTGGGCAGAAAAGAGCCTTTGCCATCACTGCAGTGAAGGGTGTGGGGCAAAGACAGGCTCACGTGGTATTGTGGAAAGCAGATAGCGACCTCACCAGGAAGGCAGGAGAGCTGACGGAGGATGAGATGGAACGTGTGATTGCCATTATGCAGAATCCATACCAGTATAAGATTCCAGACTGGTTCTTGAACACACTAAAGGCTATTAAGCATGGAAAAAAATACAGCAAGGTCCTGGCTCATGGTCTGTATACAGCAAACTCTGGGAAGACCTGCAGCAACGGAAAAAGACTCGGGCTCACACAGGGCTGCAACACTTTTGGGGACTTCGTGTCCGAGGCCAACACTTAAGATCATAGGCTGCTGAGGCTGCACCACGGGTGTGTCCAAGAGGAAATTTAAATCTTGAGGCTTTATCTATTAGTAAATTGTTTATGTATAAAAAAGAGAGAGAAAGGAAAAAAGATGAAGACTTTCTTTTGGTTTCGTTTGGTTTTGTCTTGTTTTTTAGTTGACTCTTGTAGCCAATGTCCCTGAAAGGCCTTATCTTCTTGGTTAGAAAAAAAGACAGAAAAATACCTGGTTTCTTCTTTTTCATGATTCAAACAAGACCTGTTATTTCATCTCCGTTTTCAGTGAGCTCAGCTTTATTGACAGTAATTTTAAAGTGACAGAGGGGCCTTGTGGAACCATCCCATTGCCCTCCCATGCTCGGCCAGTCTTTGCTGTTTGGATTCTATTACGGTTTCAGTCCTCTGCCACAAGACCTCAAGGGGGAAGGTTGCTTGTGGGAGTGAGCTCTCCTGTGTTAGGAATTCACTTACTTGATTTTCTGTAGCATCTTTTTTTTTTTTTTTAAGATTTTATTTATTTATTTGAGAGAGAGAGAATGAATGGGGCATGGGGGGTGGAGAAAGGGGCAGAGGGAGAAGCGACTCCCCGTTGAGCAGGGAGCCTGACAGTAGGGACGGGGGCTTGATCCCAGGACCCTGGGATCTTGACCTGAGCCGAAGGCAGATACTTAACAACTGAGTCACCCAGGTGCCCCTGTGCCATCTTTAAGTCGACAAAACTCTAAAACTGAATGGGCCCCTACATGCATTTCTGTGTGAGACACTGCAGAATGAATCCCATATCAGTCAACATCTATAAACGACCACTAGGAGCCAAATGCTGAGCTGAGAGCCATGGAAAAACTCAGATGTTCCCTGTGCATAAGGAATTTAGTCTAGGAGTTGGCTAAATAAGACATTTGCCCCAGGCTAGGGGTACCTTAGCTCTGCCAGGCCACATAGCAATAGGGCTTCCTCCTAACAGATGGGTAGCTTTTGGTGAGTTGTTCCTGGGGGAGGGTCCTTTCTCAGTACGCAGAGGTGCTGTACAGGATTAGCAGCACCTCAGACTCGTGCACAAAATTCAGGAAACACATAAGTAAATGTCAAATGGATTATGGAGGGTCTACACACGCTTATTCTCCCTACTTAAGGAGGGCCTCACAAATGGATTACCGTCTCATGCTTTTTTTTTTTTTTTTTTTTTAAGATTTAAGAGAGCGAGAATGAGAGAGTGAGATCATGAGAGAAGGGAGGGTCAGAGGGAGAAGTAGACTCCCCACTGAGTAGGCAGCCCCACATGGGACTCGATCTTGGAACTCCAGGATCATGACCTGAGAGGAAGGCAGTCACTGAACCAACTGAGCCACCCAGGTGTCCCCCATCTGATGCTTTTGAAGAATGGGGATAATGTGTGTGTCTTGGGGAGGGTTAGGGTGGGCGGAAGTATCTTCTAAAGCCCCTTAACCTTCTAAAATTCAGAGTCTGCGAATTCAGCTTGATGGTAAAATAACATACTTAAGTACTTTTGAGCACTTTGAGAATGGAAGACATGGAAGGTTGGGGAATGTTGATATGCTGAGAAGTGGAATGCTAACTCCCAGTGGAAGAACACCCACCATCTGTAGGGATGGTTAACTGGCTACCTTGTCAGATACACTTGGTCTTGATTTTGACACTGCTGCAGTCTTACTGGAATGGTCCGGAACTGTCACATACTGTGAGAAGTGGTAAGCGAGCAACCACAGAGCTTCAGCTAACCACTCACATTTCCTGCCTGTGAGGTCATGTGCAGGTAAAGGCACCAAATGGTGGGAAATGAGGATTCAGAGTCGCCAGACGGTCATCACAATGCTATCTTCATATGTTTCCCTTCATGTTCAGCCACCCTAGAGCTCTCACCTTCTCAGAAACGTGTCTTGTGAATTCTGTGCTTTGCAGACTGGTACAGAAGGAGTAAAGTGTTTTACTGGTCCATGTAAAACACCATGTATTCTCTCTTCCCGCATTCCTCGCCCTCCTAGTTCTTTCCCAAACTGAAATTAGTGTCCCTGGTCCCTAAGATTGAGGGAACTCAGCTCCCATGTCCACCCCACTGGTTACCCTCGTTTGTTAGTGGTACAGGGTGCAAACCCTCCTCACTTGCTTTCCCCTCTAATCCTTCTGTCACCAAAGTCAGCCCTCGTTGTGTAAAAACCTGTTGATCATGATTAGATACCAGCACTCAGCTGAACCGTGTGGTCAGTATAAATATCACTAAGATCCTTACCCCACCCTGGAGCTCTCCCACTGAAGAGCTATGAGGGGGCTCGATGGAGGGACAGGTGGTTGGGGCGGGGGGTGGGTGGATGGCAGGGGAAAGAGAGAAGAGGATATGAGGATGGGTGTGTACCCTGAGGCATCCTCAATGGACAGATCTTAGCTTGAATCCCAACTCAGACAGATACTGGTTGTGTGAACTTGGGCAAGGTGGATGATACCCGAGGTCCTCAGATTCCAGATCTGTTAAGAGGGGGTGTCATAATTCCTCCCCAGCCCAGGTGGCTGCGTAGATTAGAGACCGTAAATGGCTCAGAGAAGTGCTTGGTTAAAATATCAACAACCCAAAGTGGGACCTATATATAACTACCACAGTGGGCGGTAAATGACACAAGAGAAATGCAAACAAAGGGGTGGGGGCTCGCAGCAGAAAGGCTCACACCTGGCAGAAGGCCATGCGTGAGCGTGTGTGCTGAGCACGTGTGTACACAGGCCCTCCCAGCCTCTGGGTGATCTGTTGCCCCAGCACACAGCTAGCCTGGTGGAGCTGAGCAGTGTGGGGCCCACGGGCGCACACCTGGGAGCCACTCAGCTCCCACAAAATCGGACGTTTACCTGTTGCAGCAGGCATGACCTGGAGCTCATGCCCTTGAGGGATCAGCCGAGAGGCAGCAGAATGGACATCTGGAAAGGGCACTGCCATCCAAGTTGACTTCGGCCTGCTATGGGGATTGAACATTATTCCCTCCTTCAGAAAGCAAGGTGTTTTCATCGGTTTTCCTTCCACCCCCTTCCCTGGATGTCTAAGATCAAGCGTGCTTCTCTCTTCTCCAGCTCAGAGGCTGAGAATGGTGTGGAGGAGAAAAAGAAGATCTGTAAGTCGCCAACAGTCCAGTCCCCAAGCCCGTCCATGGAGGCCGAGTCCCCAGACCAGAAGAGAATCCTTTCCTTGCGGTGAGTCCTCATGATGACACTTGGTTCTCTGGGGCCTCTGGGGAGGAGGGGCTGCTGGGAGGAGCCCGTGTTTCTAGTTTGGTGGTGGTGGCTGAGAATCAGGATCTCGTGTAGGCGAACAAACCCCTGAGAAACAAGCAGGGTGTCTGTCTTTGATATCCTGGCACCAGTGCTTGCCCTCCTGTCTCATTTCTTTTGGGTGGCATCTTTCCTCCTTCTTGCCCCAGTCTACTGCAGAACACCTGCCCCATTCTTCAAGGACAGATCTCGCTACCCGATAAAGCCAGCTTAGCCCCCTGTCTGGCATAGACCTCGGAAGCACCTGGAAAGGCTGGCCAAGGAGCCCTCGAGGCCCGCCCAGCTTGGGCCTCTCTGCCTTTGCGTGTGCTCACCTGCTGCCTCGCTGTCCTGGCAGCCACCTGCCTGGGATCCCTGGCCGGGGTGTGCATGGCTCAGGGGGCCGCCTGCTTCCTGGGGGCTGGAGCTGGAAGCCGGCTGGGGCAGGGGAACAGGCTGTTCTGAGAGGAGCCATGGTCCCTGGCGCGCTCTCAGGCTCCAGTTATGCGTTTGCTTCCACACGGAAGGAAGAAGTAGGAACTTCAGCTTGCTTTTCTTGCCCTGAAAAGGGAATGGGTGTACCCATGGTCAGTTTCGGGAAGTGTGGCCAGGGATCCGTGCCGGGTGGTGCGGGGGAAGCTGCTCTCCTTTCTCCTCCCCGAGACTGCATCTGTCAGAGCTGCTCCTTCGGGGTCTGTGGCCTCTGTGAAGGGTAATGAAGTGACTCCTGCCTTTCCCTTTCCTTCCTGGCTTCCCAGCCCATTCCTTCTCTCCAAATCCTTACTTCATTCAAGACCAAGCGGAAGTCTCCTCACTGTGCCTGAGATTTTTCTTTTCTGGCTTCCTCGTTCTCTCGTCTTCAGTTCTGCACGGCTGGCTGGACACATCTCACACCTATAGCTGTTTCCTGTCTGAGCATCTCACCTCACTCACCACTCGAGTCTCTGGGCAAAGGCACAAAGTATGTCATTTCTTGAATCTTTTACCATTACTGGCTGGCTCCAGTGGGTGCTCGGAAAAAGTTGCTTTGACCCCACCTCCCCCAGGCTTCGGATGAGAAGCACACACTCATCGTGAGAGCGGCTTATTGAACAGTGTGGGTGAGTCGCCTGTGTAGTCACAGAGAGCCCCCCACGTGCTTTACTGCTCTGCTCTCGCTGTCTGGAAATTCCTAATTTTTGAGTAAGAGGCCCGACGTTTTCATTTGCACCGGGCTTTCCGTCCCCTTCATAGTCACCGGTGAGAAACGCGAGTACCACAGTTCAGAAGACACAGAGATAGCAATGCTATGTAAATCAGCAGCCCTCCTCCCCCTTTCACAGAGCGCTGTGCTATGCAGAATTCCATTCTGCTGGTGGCTCTTGAGTTCGTCAAGGATACAGCTGCCCTCCTGGGTGCATTTGCTCAGAGTCCTTCAAGAGGTCGTTGCCTTGGCAATTCCATTGACGTTTACTAATGTGAACCTGTAGAGGTGATTAAATCAGATTAGTGGATAGTATAAATAGTAGATAATTTGACATTTGTAAAAAAAATAATTTTATTTTGGAGTTCAGTCTTTACTCATAATTTCAAAGAGAAAAGTAATTGCTAGAATTCAGAAGGAATTTGTATCTGTGAATGGTTTCAGTGGTCAGTAGCTAAGTCCAAATCTTCACTTGTGGCTAGAGCAACTTGGATCCAAACTGTTGGGGCTGGCAAGGGCCCAAAACATCCGATAGCCTGTTTTTTCATAGCTGAGAGACCCAGAGTCTAAAATCTGACATCAGTCATTTCTGTCTCTGAGTCGTACCCTCAGACCTCCTGAATTACTCAAGATTCTTACATCTGCTTTGAACCAAATAGTAGTTTTAACTGAGCCTCTTTGTAAGGAATCATACTGTGGAATCATGAATTTCATGTGCTATTTTTCCCAATAATCAAAAATAGTCCCACATAATTGTATCCTAAAAGTTGATCCTAGTAGTCCTCTAAAAATCATACATGCATTCTACTTTGAAATGATTCTGCATGTCTGTAGGCCTGAAGACATGTGCAAATTCGCATATGTACTCAAACGGAGAGCCAGGACCAGAGTCACCTCAGAAACACCTCTGCCCTCACTAGAACAAAGGAAGACTTGACTTTCAAACACATTCTTCATTTTTATCCTGGTTTCACATCTGTTTTCCCCACTCGGGGATGTTTTGTCTCTCTTTTCCTCATACCCACCTCCTGCTCATCCTCTGGGACCCAGTGTATTAAACCCACATAGTGCTATTGAGCTCCTCTTTTCTTATCTCCTGTTGGACTTTGTATCTCTCTACCTGCCCCCAACGCCCCTGGTATGTATTATTTGGTGCTAAATCTTGCACTGCCTTTTAAAAAAGATGTCTGATGAATTCTTGGGCTCTTTAAGGAAAAAGACTGCCTTGTGTGCCTCCTGGCTTTAATACAATGCCCTCCTCAATTAACACATGTTAAATATTAATGGAAATCTGAAACAAAAATATTCTTTGCTTGAACTATAGCTGTAGTTTTGTTTAATAATTTGCCTATACTGCTCCTCTTTGACTGCTTAAAAGACTTTTGAGATGGTATAATGACCTTCACAGTTCAGCTGTTACTTCTCCCTTCTACAAGTTCACATTTCTCCAGTTTAAGATTGCAGCCTGGTGAAACCATCCCAGTCTCCTACACACTGTACTGTTTAAATGCTCGCAGAGTATCATGAGTGATCACCAAGGTCTAGAAGAGAAAAACAAATGTCAGGTTTTCTCATGCGATTGTATAATAATCAAGATTTATCACAATACAGTCAATGAGTAGCATACAAAATTCATCTTACAGGCTCCCTGGATTCTCTTTCCTCAGGTCCAAATCCAGTTTTGACGGTACCTCTTTAGCAAGCGACAAGAACGACTGTAAAGCAGAAAGCAAAAATGAATCTAAGATGGACCGGAAAAAGTATTCGTCTTCCAGCCAGGTAACTTGGGAAGGCAGTGTGCATCATGTCACAGCAGGGACTCTAAACCCAAGTATGTATCTCCCTGCTAGTCAGGACTCCCATAGGCAGGGGTGGTAGGGAATCTGGAAGAAAGAAGAGAATGCCGTTCCTTTGGTTGATTTTTAATCAAGATCGTATTTCCCCACTGACCTTTCAGTATATCCTGGACAGTGGTGGGTTCCACACCGTGCCCCCTAACTCTGACAAGCACCCTGAGAGCAGGGAACAATTTGGTCACATGCTGGTCTAATTAACTGAGACCGGGAGAGCTTTGATAGCCTTGCATTAAAATTAGAGCCTGATACAGCACCTGTATGAATGGAAGGCTCCCCAGCTGCACCGGGGCGGGGGTGGGGGGGGAACCTATGAATGGGATCATGATTCTTGTCCAGGAGTAGTTCAGTTCTGCTCTCAAACACCCCCAGATGGGTGTGAAAGCCCAGTTCTGTGTCTTAGAGTGGGGAATACTTACTGGAGTCAATGGTTTGAGGTGGTTATTGACACTTCACCCCTAAATAGTTGAATATGTGTTTCCTAAGAACATCAACAACAACAAAAAAAAAAAACAAAAAAAACCCATTGGCACACACAAGAAATGTAACTAAACAGTAAATATACCAAAATCGTATTAACATAAAATCCATTTTGGATTTCCATAATTGTCCCAGTAGTAGATGCCTTTTTTTTTTTTAAGATTTTATTTGACAGCTAGAGAGAGCACAAGCAGGCAGAGTGGCAGGCAAAGGGAGAGGGAGAAGCAGGCTCCCCCCTGAGCAGGGAGCCTGATGCGGTGCTTGATCCCAGGACCCTGGAATCATGACCTGAACTGAAGGCAGCCACTTAACGAATTGAGACATCCAGGCGCCCCGTGGAGGCCTTTATAAATGTTTTTTGCTTCCCCCCTCTCTAGAATCCAGTCAGGGGGCATGATTGCATTTATCCATTTATCTGTTGTTTTTAATATAGATCATTCCCACCACCTATTTTTTTTCCTTTTATTATGTTCACATTTTTGAAGACTCCATGTTCAGGTTTTTTTGTTTCATGGATTTTATTTTTCCTTTTGGGCCCAGGTTTTTTGTTCTTTTGTTTTTTAAGATTTTTTATTTATTTGTCAGCGAGAGAGAGCACAGCAGCAGGAGCAGCAGGCAGAGGGAGAAGCAGGCTCCCTGCTGAGCAAGGAGCCCGATGTGGGGCTTGATCTGAGGACCCTGAGATCATGACTGAGCCGAAGGCAGATGCTTAACAGACTCAGCCACCCAGGCGTCCCCGGCCCAGATTATTTTTAAAATCAAGTCATGCAGCTGATTCTCACTGTAGCCATTTAAAAAAAAAAAAAAAAAAAAACCCAAAAACCTCAGGAAAGCTCCTGTGGAATACCTAGCTTTAATCCAGGTAATGTCCTGGATGCAGAATGTGCTTTTAGGAAGCAGCATGAGGTGACCTACTTTATAGGAGGTATTTGTAGAATAGCTGACTTGTGGGGCCCATCTTTCATCTGCATGACCTTTCTAAACTCTTCCTTAGAGCAGTATTAGGGCCCGTCCTGTACTGAGACCACTCCTAGTTTGGGTAATAAAACATGAAGGGCCTGCTTGTACTATCTCTCTGTTCGGCTCACAAGACTTTTTTATCAAAAGTATCCTGTCAGGCAGAGGTCCTGGAAGGAGGACCAGTTCTACCTCTTAGCCGTGTGGCGCCAGTTCAGTGATTCAGTTTCCCTGAGGCACACTGTCCAGACCCATGGAATGGGGATACCAGTTCCCCGGGTTATTTTGGGAATGGTATTTTTGAAGGCAGGTTACCAAATGGAAATTGCTGGCTGTCCATTGTTGTTGTCACAGCTGTCTAAACACATGTCTTTTTACCGCCCTCGAGAGTTCTCTCCCCCTGACACTGACTAAGGAAATGCTCTCACAACAAAAGTAGTGAGAGTGACAATACCAGGTGGTGGGTCTTTCAGATGAATTGTACCATTTAAGCCTTATGGGAGCCCTTTGAGGCAAGTAGTGTATTTGTCCTCTGGCACAGAAGAGTTTGAGGCTCAGCGAGGCTCCCTCACTCGGCCATAATCACACACCAAAGGAAAGGTGTAGCCAAGACTTGAACTCGGGTTTATCTGACCCTTCAACCTCTGCCCCCCACTCTGAAAGTCCTTGTACCTGGAGGGCTCTGAGATCTGCTGCCTTCCCTGGTGAGATCCCTTGGAGTTTCATGCCATTTGTTATTAGGGACATCCTTGTCGAGCCACCTGGGCAGAACGGTGACCACCAGCTGCAGCATGGTCACAGATGTCTGTCCAACCGGAAGGTCACTAATTTTGTCGGAAAATGAAACCTTGTGCCCTGCCCACTCTGAAGGCTTGTGTTGAAGACTGTGAGGTCAGAGAGAAGGAATTCCTAAAGCGACTGTGTCAAGGGAGGGGAAATTTGTTAGGTTATTTATTTATTTATTTATTCATTTATTTTAAAGGTGTATTTATTTATTTTAAAGATTTATGTGAGGGGCGCCTGGGTGGCTCAGCCTCTGCCTTCGGCTCAGGTCATGATCCCAGGGTCCTGGGATCGAGCCCCGCATCGGGCTCTCTGCTCCGCGGGGAGCCTGCTTCCTCCTCTCTCTCTCTGCCTGCCTCTCTCTGCCTACTTGTGATCTCTGTCTGTCAAATGAATAAATAAAATCTTTAAAAAAAAAAAAAAAGATTTATGTGAGAGAGAGAGAGTGCAGGTGCATGAGCTGGGGGGAGGGGCAGAGAGAGAGAGAATCCACAAGCAGACTCCCCGATGAGTGCAGAGCCCACCATGGTGCTCGATCCCAGCACCCTGAGATCACAACCTGAGCTGAAATCAGGAGTTGGACTCTAATGGACCAAGCAACCCAGGCATCCCTTGTTTTGTAATTTAAATTGAAGTCAAAATTTACAATGTTTCATCAAGAAATGTGAGTGGTGATGCCTGTGTTGTGTTCTCATTGTAGTACAAGGCCAATATGCACTTCCACAAGTTGTTCCTTGATGTCCCAACTGAGGAACCACTGAGGCAAAGTAAGTTCTGGTCTGTTTGACTTATTTGAAGAGATGATAATTGGTTTGGGGGTAGAAAGCGGCCTCCATCTGGGGGCTGAAGCACCCAGGGGAACAGGTTTTTGAAAGTCACAATGTAACAGTGGTGCCAACTTCATTCAGCTGTCACCAAGCACCTGAAGGAAAGTAGACCAGGAAACTGAATTTGTCCTCATAACAGGGAGCCCTCTAAGAGGATTACAGAATGATTTCCTCACCTCTGTATTGATGGCTGAAAGGCACTGTGCATGGGTTGTCCTGAGAGTGAAGATAACAAGACTGGAGAAACCGAGAACACTGGAAGAAGGCTGAAAGGAAGCACAGATTCTAATGCACAGACGTGTCAATCCCTAGATGATGTGGGGCGCAAGGATCACCCCCAGACATCCTGCTCAGCAAGCCAGTGAAGACCTCTGCTCCTCTTAGGTTCATTAGGACCAAGGTTCCATTCTGGCCTCTCAGTATACCCATGTAGAGCAGGAGGCTGGATTCCTGCCATGAGGCCCAATCATGTGGGTCACATGCTCTTCCCACACTGAGACCATCAATTTCCAAAGGAGTCATTAGTGACCGTCCCAGAGTAGGAGGGGCAGGAATGCCAACACAAGCTCAAAGTGACACGCCTTCCTTAAATAAAGGGATTTTGAAACTCCATTCTCAAACTCTCGTTTGTAGTGATAGACTTGCCTGGCCATTTTGAGTTTCATACCAAAGCACGTCAGACTTTGAATTAAAAAACAAACTCTCATGCCCATAGCTTTACTCCACGGAAGACAGCTGACAAAGAGGGGAAAGATCTTTTGAATATGAGTATATTATCTCTGCCAATCCTGAGTCACCAACATATTTACGGAATTTTTATTTCATTTGGAAATTGCAAGACCTCTTATACCTGTGTCTGTTTTCCCAGGTTTTACCTGTGCTCTACAGAAAGAGATATTATACCAGGGGAAGCTCTTTGTATCAGAAAACTGGATTTGTTTTCATTCCAAGGTCTTCGGAAAAGACACTAAGGTTGGTATAATTTTTTAAAAGAAAGCTCTGCACTTTATTACATGTTGTGAAAGTCAGTTTGTTTAAGCGTAGCAATGTTGATAAATATTTATTCTTGTTATACCTTTATATCTTTATTTCCCCTATCATAGTTCCAAATATTACAGGTTCTAAATACCTCTAACTGATACTAACTTCCCTTTTCTCCTAAAGACCACTCTCAGTTTATTTCCTTATATACATAGATCTCTCCCACAATCATACGCTCAATCCTTACCCAGATGTCACTAGAGAACTCTCAAAGTTGTCCATTTGGAGAGCGCGCCATCATTTGTTTCAAAGACATATATTAACCCAAGACCATTTTTTAAATAAATACCGATTTTTACACCTTGTTCCTGTCACATCAGACATGTAGAAAAACAGGCTTAAAGGAGCTCACTTTGTACCATCACCAGCACCAAATGAGCAGGAATTAGAACACTTAAGGCCTGGTCTGAGAGAGTTGTACACCCACATTCCCCAGTAGACAATGATCGACAAGTTCTCATTCTCATTAAACAGATTTGGGGGAGCACAGGCCCAAGACACCTGAGCTGTTAAGGAGGATAACCTGGAGGAATTGGCGGCTTTCCCAAGCCACTCCTTCCAAAGGGAGGACCCTGGGACTATGTCATAAGAAGGAAAAAGATAATACCATCCCACTGACATTCTTTCCCTTTGACCTGCAGTGTCACACCACAGTCCACCAGAACAAGGAGTCTGAGAAACTCCTTAGGTTTGCGTGACCGAAGGAGTTCTTAATCCTTCTGATGCATGAACAAGCTGCTTTAATATTCATGAAGTTGCTAACTAAAAACTTTTTGAGTGGTAGTTATGTTTTATTTAAATATTCTCCCTAAAGCCCCTGGCAATCTTTAGGATAATGACTATGTAACAAATACAAGGGAAAATTCTTGATTTTGTTGGTGTTAGGTCTGCCGACTAGCACATTGTTCTCTAGGTCAGACATGTTATTTTTGATGTTGTTCTATAATTCTGTAGAGTTGTGTTTAGACAAACATTTTAATAAATATGATCACCTGAATCAGTATAACACAAAGCAGTATTAAGCAGTTTTCCACCGGATTTCTAGACTGCTCAGTTGTAAGAACTTGTTCATGGAGTAGGGAAGGGATTGGGTAGCAGGAATCTCCACAGTTTTGTGCTTTTTTTAAAGATTTTATTCATTTATTTTACAGAGATCACAAGTAGGCAGAGAGGCAGGCAGAGAGCGAGAGGGAGGGAAGCAGGCTCCCTGCTGAGCAGAGAGCCCGATTTGGGGCTTGATCCCAGGACCCTGGGATCATGACCCGAGCCGAAGGTAGAGGCTTTAACCCACTGAGCCACCCAGGTGCCCCAGGAATCTCCACAGTTTAAAGTGATAAGATAATTCCCAGGAATTTAGAGCCAACACCTCTGATGAAAGCAGCAGGGCTGGAGATATTAGTGAAGGAAGAATGAGTCTTTGTTAAGGGATGGGGGAATTCTTAAACTCAGTAAGTGTACTTTGAAGCTAATATACGATCCTGGCAGTGGTTTTAAAATCCAGTATCTACCTAAAAGAGAAACGGCCAGACCACAAAAAGAGAAAAGGAGTGGCCTAACACACTGGTTTTCTAAAAAGGTAGTAGCAGGGGTTGCTTTTGCATGTGCTATAGCTAATCTAAGAGACAAGGGGTTAAAAATCATCAGGAGGTAGGAACTTAAGAACGGTGGTAGCGACCTGTACATTTCTTCCCTCCCCAGGATGTTGGCAATGAGATTGGGGCCCCAGATCTGTGGCAGAATTCCCATACTGCCAACAGAACTGGCTCCACACGGTCCCGCGTAAACGAAAGGCAGTTCACACAATTCCCTCTAGGGAGGGAAATTCTAAGCACCCTACCCTGGAAAAATATTAGCAAAGTGCAGCCTTAATGTAATCAGGACATTTTGGTCCGTCTGACTGCATTTTCAGATACTGGTAAAATTAAATGCATGTATCCTATCCCATCCAGACTCAAACTGAAAAATGATTGATACTTTATTTCTCACATGTGATCTGGTTGTCATTTTATACTTATTAAGCAGTTGATTGAAAACTCCTTAAGAGTGTTCCATGCCTTAGATTATGAAAAAAACCAAATGTGTAGCCCCTAGTCTCTGTGTGCTCATGCTGCTGCTCAGAAACAAAATCAAACTCATTTTTATATCCTTATCCATCTTGGCAGACTTTACTTTTTTTCCCCCAAATTTACCCTAATGTTTACCATATGAGTTATCTCCTACACTTCAAAATCTGGGGCAGTAGAGTTCTTCAGCAAAATAGTTTTTAGGAAATATCTCATTAAGATTAGCCCCTCATTCTTCCATAGTCTTCCCATCTGGAACTTGGAGGGGCAGTAGAACATCTCTGTCTCATAAACCTAAATACAGGAAAGACAGTGTTCAGAATTAAAAGCTCAGTTTTCTTCCTTCAAACTGACAGTACTAACCTAAGGCCCTCCTCTTCCCCACTGACCTTGTTGCTCTCTTCTAGAATATGTGAAGCATTTTTACAAGATAATGTACACTTGAATAAGTATCTGTGGAGGGAGTCAGTTCATTTTACCGTGGATGCATATGCCTCTTTATCAGGACTAAAGTGATATGGCCCATTTCTCTTTGAAACCAAACTGGCTTGGGGGGATATAACATAAAAATATTGGAACATCTATTCTTCGTGTTATCTGGTACATGCTTGTAATACACTGGATGAAAAAGAACCCACATTTCGGATTGGATTGATTCAAATTCTCTCGTAACCCATTTATGACCTTGGACAAGTCACCTACCTCTGTAAACACATGTCCTAGTCTCTTAGAGCATGTACTTTATAGGACTGTCCTAATTAAAATGACATTCTCATCTAATTCTCTATTGTTCAAACCAGAGAAGTTGTTCAAGTTCTTTAATTTCACTCATCCTCTTCTTATAAGACGAATGAGGAAATGAATGACTTTTTTTTTTATTTAATGTGGAACATTTCATGAATTTGCACTGATCTTTGCATAGGGGCCCTGCTAATCTCCTCTGTATCATTCCAATTTTAGTATATGTCCTGCCAAAGTGAGCACAATCCATTACTTTCTTAATGAGTGCTAGACATTTTCCATATATTATCTCACTGAATCCACAGAAAATCCTGGGAAGCAGGGAAGATTATCTCCATTTTACAAATCAGAAACCTGAGACTTAGAAAGTGTGGTTTGTAAGGTCGAGTAGGTGACGTAGATAGTATGGACTGTAAAAAGTAAAAACAGCCAGTGGTTTTATCAGCAAAATGGGTTTATTCAGGAACGGGAGAGAAATCACACTTTGAGCCATGCAAAGCTCTGGCAAACCATAGGGAAGTCAAGATCAAAGGAGAGAAATATTAAATTACAGAGCAAAGGAGGAAGTTGGGAGGGGTTGCTTTGGACAAAAGCTCATTGAAGAGAATTGAGCGTTCATGCCTTCTCATTGGCTGAGCTTGTTGCTTGGCCATGAGAAATCCTTCCTTCCTCTGGCTGGGGTGGGTGGGTAGTCAAGTGGACTTCTTCCTGTTAGGGTCTGCAACTAAGGACCAGAGGTGGTACAGGAGAGCTCCCCTTTTGGGCCTCCAGATTGCATTTTAAATAAGGTTTCCTTTATTCGCTTTCACAGAAGTAACAACTGAGAATTCAGGTCCCGGACTTTCTGTCCAGTAGTGATTCCACTATAACAGCGTCAGTCAAGGTTTTCCATACCTGCATATGTATAAGGATAGATGAGAGGGTGGGGTGTGGAGATTAGCCCTAGGGGGATGGCCACAAGCACTCTGTTTCTGTAGAGCCAGGGCCTACCTTTAAGATGACTGTGCATTTTGCATTCATTGCCTTGTCTCAAGATCGTTTCTCACCCAGCCCTTCGAGTAGAATTAATGAGGCAGATTTAACCTCTGGCTTTGGAAGCAGAACTTGGAGGAGACTGGCTTTTTTTCCTGGAGGCTGGAGAGCTCCCTGGTGGTTTTGGATTTCTTCGTTAAACTTTTTTTTTTTTTTAAGATTTTATTTATTTATCTGACAGAGATCACAGGTAGGCAGAGAGGCAGGCAGAGAGAGAGGAAGGGAAGCAAGCAGGCTCCCTGCTGAGCAGAGAGCCCGATGGGGCTCGATCCCAGGACCCTGGGATCATGACCCGAGCCGAAGGCAGAGGCTTTAACCCACTGAGCCACCCAGGCGCCCCTTCTTCGTTAAACTTTAAAAAAAAATTTTTTCTTCCTTCCACATGAAGATCTGAAGTCGTGTTCAATGAAGGCTCAACCAGTGCAAACTGATTCTGTTTCAGATCTCTATTCCGGCGTTCTCAGTCACCCTCATAAAGAAAACCAAAACTGCCCTCCTCGTGCCAAATGCCTTAATTATAGCAACAGTCACAGACCGGGTGAGTAGGCCTCGGAGACGAGGGCGCCTTCGCTTTGTCCTGTTTGTATATTGTTTCCCCTCACAAGGTGCTTTATTCTCATATAATTGTTGGCAATTTTGCGTTTCCTGCTGACTTAATTCTACTTGCTTGACCAAGGTCAGAAACAGAAGATTCTTTCCCAACTCCCCTTTCTCTAGGATCTCTTGGAAGAGGCTAAACTGATATATTGAGTTTCTTTAATATTTAAAACCACCACCACTGCATTGTTGAGGGGATGAGACTGAAGAATCTCTGGGACCCAGAACCTTACTCGGTCCCTCACCAGAGCCATCCCCGATACATGAACCCGGTGCTCGCCATGTGGGGCTCAGCTTTGGAACCAGTTTCTAGCACCTCTTTGCTTCCAGGTTGCGTCAAGTACTACTGTTCTATATAGAAATTCTGTATTTCTCTTGACTGTTGAGCTGCGCCACACACGTGTGACTGGATACTTGCATTGATAGTGGTGTTTATTTCAGTTTAGCCAGAAAGAGGGAGTGGAATGGTTCGGTTATTCATTTCTCCCTTGAAATTATTTTTTTTAAGATTTTTACCTTCTATTTCTATGAAAGTATAAAAGATGCATTCCATTTCCAACCTTACTGGATAACCTGGAGAGGGAAGGAGGGTGGAAGAAAAGATAAAAGAGGCTATTCTGATGAGAGTAGAAAATAGGTTAATATTTTGGAAAAAAAAAAAAAAAGTGTATAATACGAATGGCTAACAGGCATTAAGTACTTCTCGCCAGGCATACACTAGATGCTTTCCTTCTATTTTCACATTGATTCCACACTGCCACCCAGAAGGGGTAAGTGTTGTTAGCCAACTGAGCCACCTAGGCGCCCTGGCCTCAGTTTTCTTAAGCATCTGCCTTTGACTCAGGACATGATCCCAGGGTCCTGGGATCGAGCCCCGTGTTGGGCTCCCTGCTTGGCAGGGGGCCTGCTTCTCCCTCTCCCTCTGCTGCCTTCCACTGCTTGTGCTCTGCTGTTCTCTCATTCTGTCAAATAAATAAATAAAATTTTAAAAGAAAACTGAAGCCAAGGGTCACTTGAGGGTCCGATTCTTCAGCTCAGGTCCTGATCTCAAGATCATGGGATCCAACCCTGCTATGGGCTCTGCAGGCAGGCAGAGTCTGCTTGAGATTCTCTCTGCCCCTCCCCGCTTCACATACTCTGCCTAAGTAAATAAAATCTTCAAAAAAACAAAAGAAAAACTGAAGCCAACAATGGTTGAGCAGTTTGCCTACTGTTACCCACTTCTAAGTAGCAGCGCCAGACCTAGCAACTGGGTCTAAAGGCAGAACCCACAGTGTTAACTACTCTGGAATACATACTTTCTGGGAAAACCTATCAAGGGCTCTCCTCCATGAGTAAAAGGAATAATTACAAATTTCTGGAAGGGGCTCTGAAAAGATTCTGTGGCTCAAACAGACAAAGAGTGAGTTTTAGTATTTTCTTAACATATGTAACACTTTACCACTTAACATAGTTTTTTTTAAGATTTTATTTATTTGAGAGAAGTCACAAGTAGGCAGAGAGGCAGGCAGAGAGAGAGAGGAGGAAGCAGGCTCCCCACTGAGCAGAGAGCCCAATGCAGGGCTCGATGCCAGGACACTGAGATCATGACCTGAGCTAAAGGCAGGGGCTTACCCCACTGAGCCACCCAGGCACCCCCACTTAACATGTTCATGGTAAATTCATTTTTCCTTATGTCATGTGTCTCCAAATTCCTTCTCTAGTCTGATTTCACTTTTTGCCCATCACTTACGTATACATGCATCCACTAGAAAAATCTCCATATTTGTACAAGGGAGAATCTGGAAGTGGCTTAAAAAAGAATGGAGCCTCTAAGAGCCTCTGGGAAATTCTTAGTGGAAATCTAGGTCAGAACAGAGAAAGAGGACCCTTGGGAAATGTTAAATACCTTAAAAGAAAGGGGGGGAGGGGTGGCTGGAGAACAAGCTTTAAAGAAGATCTAGCAAGTATCACTGGCCTTTTTTTTAATATTATGACTTTTTTTTTTTTTTTTAAGCCTGTGTGTGCTTGTTTGGGGCATCTGTTTCAGTGCCTTAGCGCCTTCACATTGCTATTACTTAAATGGGGTTTGAGGGTTTTGTTGCCCTTGTGGGGAAAGAGGCTTGGTTTATTACGGAAATGGAATTAAAAAAAAAAAATGTGTGGGTGAATGAGTCTTTCCTTTGAAAAGGAAAAAAATTATATAAATTTTTTGCACTCTGAACTCTCACGTGTTTCCACGCAGTATCTGTTAATAATGACTGTTTTGTTTTCCAGTACATATTTGTCTCCTTCCTCTCCAGAGATTCTACTTACAAGCTACTGAAATCTGTGTGTGGACACTTAGACGTGAGTACAACATCCCTGAGCCCCAGTTGCTGTCTCTTTTCTGTTTCTGCTGGTTTCCTAGTTGATCTGGTTTTTCATTTTGTTTCATTAATTTCAGAATACAAGCGTCGGGAACAGTCCCAACCCGTCTTCTCTTGAAAACAGTTTCCGGGCAGACCGCCCTTCATCTCTGCCTCTGGTGAGTTGCCTACATAACAATCTAAGAGCCACAGAAAGGGAATGTGTCCCACAATGACACTTCTCCTTACACCAGGATCAGGGGACGGAAGTAGCATAGGACCTTAAAATCTGAGGTCAAATCTGAAGGCAAGGGCATTTCTGTGCTGAAGAAAAGGGGGCCATAGGAGGCCATAAACTTTTTTCAGGTAACTAAAGAGCCGTCCTACAAAAGAAACAGGATAGGGGGCTGTCTGGGTGAGCAAGTGGTCAGTGGAGATGTTTGTAAAATCTTGCTGTCTTTGCTTGTCAGTGTTTTGCAATTGTAAAAGAACTCTGTAGTCACCAAGTGAGAGATTTTTTTCCCCCTTTAGATTTTGTTGACTGAATAGTAAATCTCCAGTGGAAAGTAGTTCCCCCCATTTGTACCTATGATGCTGTGATGTCAGCCCAAGAGAGTCCTAGCCATATTTATTCAAGTCCTTATTCCCAGATTGATTCCTGTTAAATACCAGAATACCTTGAGTGCAATAGTATGAGCCCATGGCTTTCATATCTACAAATCTTCTGAGAGCTATTAAATACTACAGGGATTGAAAACATATACACATAAAAAGTCGTCCAAGAATGTTCACAGCTGGCATGCCTGGGTGACTTAGTCAATTAAGTGTCTGCCTTCAGCTCAGTTTGTGATCATGTTGTACCGGCACTGAGTCCCCCATCAGGCTCCCTGCCCAGCGGGGAGTCTGCCCCTCTCTCTCTCTCTCTCTCTCTCTCTCTCGCTATCTCTCAGATGAATGGATAAAATCTTAAAAAAAAAAAAAAAGTTCATGGATGAATAAAATGTCGTATGTCCATACAGTAGAATATTATTTGGCCATACAAAGGAAGGAGTACTGACACATACAACATGAAAGAACCTTGAACACATGATGCTAGGCAAGAGAAGCCAGACTCAAAAGGCCACGTACGGTAGGATTCCATTTATACAAAATGTCCCCAGCAGACAACCTGACAGGGAAAGTAGAGGAGTGGCTGCCAAGGGACGGGGCAAGGGAGAAATTAGAAGTGACTGCCACTAGGTAAAGGGATTCACTTTGCAGGTGGTGGAAACGTTCCCTAAGACAGTGGTGATGGCAGCATAACATTCTGATTATTCTAAAAACCACTAAATTGTATGCTTTAAATGATGATTTTTGTTATTACATGAATTTTATCTCCATTTAAAAAAAAAAAACACCTTAGGGGAAAAAAGTAGTGGGAAGTTGTTAAAAAAAAAACAAAAAACAAAAAACAAAACAAAAAACCAAGACATATAATTTGGAATCCAACAAACTTGGTTTCAAATCTGGGTTCTGCCCAGCTGAGTTATGCCATCAGAGAAGCGCTTTTAACGGCTGTGACTCAGTTTCTTCATCCAGACAAATGCCAGCTTCATGGTGTGGCTGTGAAGATTAAGTGCAGTCGTTGGTCTGAGGAGCTTTGCGTACTGCCTGATACATGATAGGCTTTCAGTCAATAATTATTAAATCGAAGAGACTGGAATTCTTCAACTTTCTCTCTCCTGTATATTTTTGCCTGAAATTGAAATGAACTGAAATGAAATTGAAATGAATTGAAATGAAATTGAAATGAATTATTGAAACGATCCAAAGATAGCCAGTGTAAGCTGAAGGCTGGTCATTTGCTGTTTGGCAGCTAACTCAGCTGTGAAAATCTCAGCTTACTTGCACCTCCTGGGAGTGGGGAAGGGTACATTTTAATGACCCCTGTGGTCCCTTCAGTACTTAAGCACTTGGGGGAAACAAGTGGGATAAAAGTTAAACATCCCTGCTTTTTCCCTACTGCTCACGCCTCTATCCTCCTTCTATAATTCAAAAGTGATAGCACAGCCTCTCTTTTAATTTGGTTGGTGGAAGGGAGCTAAAACTTTGCTTTCAGTGTCTAATTTGTTAAAGGCATTTTTCCTTTCATTAAAATTCCTTTTTTTATACTATGATTTAAAGAATACCTTTGCATTGAGAACATGGGTTTAGAAAACTGTGCTTCTATTTCTTTTCTCCTATATGTCTGTGTCGATCACTTTTTCTCATGACAGAGTGCTAATGAGACTTTTCCAGTTTGACCCTGGAAGCTTTTCAATCATCAGCAGTGCTTTTTCTAAACATTTGTTGTTTCAAACAAGTTGGCCACTGTTGACAGGATTTTAATAGCCCAGAAAAATCTGTTTTGATCACCAGTACTCTGATCTGTTGGGGAAATCCCAGGGGTATGGTTATCCTCCCTTCTTTTTCAGTATTTTATAGGTGAGGCCCAAGTGTGGGGATTACAGAGGCCTGTCTGTTTACTGAGGGGAATTGGACTCTGTACGCTTCCTTGTTTCCCTTTAGGATTTCAACGATGAATTCTCAGATCTGGATGGAGTGGTTCGACAAAGAAGGCAAGACATGGAAGGATACAGCAGCTCTGGTTCTCAGACTCCTGAATCTGAGAACTCTCGAGGTCTGAGAAATTTCTGTATGTTACCTAAAGTATAAGGCTCCACCAGATATCCTCATCTCACCCCTATAAAACAAAACAAAACCAACAAAAACCACCTTGTCAATCAGGAAGGGACTAATTAACAATTAAAATTTGATAAGAGACTCTGGAGAAAGGGTCGTTTGAAAGTTTCAGGGAAAAGAATTGTCTGCTTGGTTAAAAAAAAATTTCTCTTTATACACATTTAATAAATCTCTTAAATTGACATCATATTAGGGTAGTTCAAAGAGAAACACACAAAATGTTTTGTTTTGTTTTACCTCTTCTTTCAATCATATTATTCACTGTTCTAGCTGAATGGGCCCAGTGAGTTAGTGGGATAAGGACAGACTGTCCTTGTATCATTTTCTTACTTCTTAAGCATTGAATTTCAATACCTAACCGCTGAACCAACTTGTGAGAAGATCCATTTATATTCTCAGCCATTATGCATGTTGTAAGATTAATTTGCTTTGTGGTTGATGGTGTGTTTTTAAATGCATTGGGAAGGAAACTTAGCCAGCCCCATTTTGGCTTGATAGATTTCCATGTGACAGAATCCCAGACAGTTCTGAACGTCTCCAAGGGAGAAACAAAACCAACCCGGGCAGATGCCCATGTGAATAGAGTGCCTGAAGGAAAAGCCAAGAGTCTCCCTGTACATGGTAAGGAACAGAATGTCTTGGGTAAGGGAGTGTGGTAGTCATCAGCTTGTAACTTTTCAAGGACCCCCATATGTCAGGGGCCCCTGGGTGGCTCACTTAAGCATCCCACTCTTGGTTTTGGCTCAGGACATGATCTCAGCGTCCTGGAATCAATCCCTGCATTGCCCTCCCTGCTCTGTGGGGAGTCGGCTTCTCCCTCTCCCTCTGCCCCTCCCTCTCACTCAATAAATAAAGTCTTCAATAAAAAATAAAGGGCACTCATATTTCAGTTTATGACTGCCTTTCATATTCCCACCCCTCCTTTCCTACTGTAGGTCTTTGTTCTGTGCATATTAATTCATGTACTTATTCAACAAACATTATCCAGTTCTGTGCTTTATTGTGAGGAATACAGAGGTGACTAGTCTTCCTGGAGGTCCCTTCATTATTTTTAGTATCTTGAGAACGTTACTCAAAAACTGGTGATAAAACTCAAATTATTGCTTACTTAGTAAGTATCCTAAAAGCTGTTTACCAATTATACTGATAGGAGAGCAAGAACAGACACCTGGAAGGCTTCAGTGTTTTCTTCAATGTCTATTATCCTGGAATAATTACCTCTTTCAAGTACCTCTTCCCCGCAGGGACTTTGCTGGATGAAGGAGGTGTGTTGTAGTTTTAAAACTGTTTTTTCTTCTCCCAACAGGTCAGTCAGAAACCACTGGAGTCCTACACAAATTCAAGTCTCAGACATGTATGACTCTCCACCATATTCTTATATTTTACGCAATTGTGTAAGTAGATGAATTTACTTTGAGTGACTTAAAATCATTCATTTCTCTAAAAGAATAATCTCACAGTTCCAAGAGTCGTTATAAATCTCAGTTGTCTCTCATGTGACCCACATCTTTCCTTTGACAATTTTGTCTCCTATTCCAACATTTTGTTTTCCTTAGGCTTAGGTTACATTTTCCTATTTATTCCCTTATTTAAATAAATGAAAGGAAGGAAGACCAAATTGGGCCAATTCCAGCAGAGGACTACGTTATGAGTGGATACTGTTAGTAAGAAAACGGTTCTGTGAATGATGAAGCATCTTTGGCCTTATTATTTGTCTTCTCATCTATCCCGTGTTCTCTGGATAGAGGCCAAAACAACTTCAAAATACCATCATCCCTTTTACTGTGAAAACTCTAGCATAACTTTAAGACCTTTCCTCCTCAGCTTCCAGCCTTTAACCAATTGTTTTTCTGAAAACAGGCTGACCCAGTTCTAGGTTCTCCTTACTACCAGGGAGGATGTGCCCAGTTTGGTTTCCAGATAAAGAAGGGAACTTGTGAGTCACCAGAGAACAAGACTGGGCACTCACTGGCCAGGCCCTCCTAGTAAGGGACACAGCACCCCATGGGAGGAACACAGGCTTGGTAATCCACCCTGGGCATAGCCTTGAGAGACCCTAGTAGAATGGCCATTGTTTATAAATCGAGGAACCTGGACCAGAAGATTTTAAATCCCGTTTTCGCTCTCAAGTTTTGTGACAAGACATCAGCCATTGAAAAAAAAAGACCTTTTCAAGTCTCTCTGGCAAGTTAATTTTGGAGAATATCTTGCCTTAAAAATACAACACTGGCTCTGAGTTGATAGTTTCATGAGTGTCAGTTCATGAACCTATTAAGAATTTCTCTTTTATCCCTTTCCAGTGTCTGTGCACTAATCATCTCGACCTTCTACATGAGATACAGAATTAATACTCTGGAGGAGAGGCTGGGGTCACTAACCTCCATCGTGGACACTCATCATCAGGAGTAAGACGATTCCATCCTGTGCTGTCATCTGCTTGCTCCTGAGACTAGTCTAATGTTGGGCGCTTACCATCCTTCTTAGCAAATGTGAACTGAGGTTACATTCCATAGGAGACATTTTGTTAAGTGCATCCAGTGGGGATAAAGGGGTTGGTGAGAGGGTCCTAGAAGTGAATGCGTGGACTCCGAACTGTTCTTGCTAGAGTGTTGCCAGATTATCAAGAAACACGCCTGATTTTACATTATCTTGTTCTGGTAGCCTAAGACTCAGCTTGACCTTGGCCCACTTAGTAATATATACCAGTTTATCTTACTAAAAGGACAGTGAGTGAAGACACTAATAGGAAAGAAGCAATTCAAATAACTCAGCTCATTTATCACATATTAATTAACTCTTTATATTAACTCATATATTCACAAAATTGACTACTTTTAAGATCTCTGTGACTAGTAATTAGCTGAATACATCTGTGAAGATTTTCCATCTCACCCACTCAGAGCTCTTTCCTTCAAATCCATATACATAAGGATTTTAATCCATTACCAAAAAGTGAAATAAATTACTCCATGTTAGAAAGCATACTTGTAACCCAAATTTCTTTCTTTCTTTCTTTCTTTTTTTAAACTGTTGGGTTTTTCTTTTTTAGTTTAAGTGATCTCTACACCCAATGTCGGGCTCAAACTCATGACCCAGAGATCAAGAGTCACGAGCTCTTCTGAGCCAGCCAGGTGCCCAACTCAGGTTCTACAAGTAGAGATACTCATTTACAGAGTTTATACCATGTGCTAGAGACTCTATTAAAATAGATACATATGGGGCGCTTGGGTGGCTTAGTTGGTTAAGCGGCTGCCCTCAGTTCAGGTCATGATTCCAGGGTACTGAGAGCAAGTCCCACATTGGGTTCCCTGTTCAGCAGAGAGCCTGCTACTCTCTCTCCCTCTGCCTGTCACTCTGCTTACTTGTGCTCTCTCTCTGTCAAATAAATAAATAAAATCTTAAAAAAAAAAAATATATATATATATACATATATATGTGTGTGTGTGTGCAATTCTCTCTAATTTTGTGTTCACCATAGCCTTTTTTAAAAGATTTTATTTATTTGACAGATAGCACCATAGCCTTTTAAGACAACTTTTATTCCCATTTTACAGATGAGGAAAACTAAGACCCAGAGAAATAATTTACTGTCATACAGTTTATAATCAAATCAGGTCCCAGATGCAAGTCAGTATGACTACATGGAGGACAGGCTTTCCCATCTACCAGTGGCTTGGTTGTGAGGGACAGCCTAGGAACTGGATTAGGCTGTATAGAGTGTGCTTCAGAATCATCTGGATGGCTTGTGTTAAAACAGACTGCAGGGCCCCTCCCCAGAGTTTCTGATGCACTAGAATGGAGGGCCCAAGAATTGGCATTTCTGTCAAGTTCCTAGGTGATGCTGACGGTGCTGGCATGGATCTGTACTTGGAGAATTATTAGATTATGCCATTCTAGGGCCTCTTTATGCTCAAACAATGACCTAGAGTCTCGTTCTGTGGCTTACATGTCTGCTGGCGTACAGGTTCTTTCTGAACCATAACATATACTTTTGAGCCAATACAGTGGAAACATAAAGAACAGTCTAGAATAGATTTATACCCTGCCCTTACTTTCTCCCTTGTTCAAAATGCTGACATACTTAGGCCACAGTAATATAGTGTGCCCTCCTAGCTCACTATCATATACAGGGTTGGCTTTTTTAACAAAAATGTACCTTATGTCTGATTATCATTTCGTTAACTTGGTGATGATGAGGGGGAAACTCCCACTAAATAAGAACAAAGGGAATATTCATTCCACTATTTACTCAACACGGGGCACCTGGGTGGCTCAGTCATTAGGAGTCTGCCTTTTGCTCAGGTCATGAGCCCAGGGTCCTGGAATTGAGCCCTACATTGGACTCCCTGCTCAGTGGGGAATCTGCTAATCCCTCTTCCTCTGTCTGCCGCTGTCCCTACTTGTGTGTGCTCTCTCTCTCTCAAATAAATAAAGATTTTTTATGTATTTATTTGATAGAGGAGGAGCACAAGAGTAGGGAGGGTCAGAGGGAGACGCAGACTCCCCTGAGCAAAGAGCCTAATGCAGGACTTGATCCCAGGACCTGGGATCATGACCTGGGCCGAAGGCAGACACTTAACCAACTGAGCCAGCCAGTTGCCCATAAATAAAATCTTAAAAAAAAAAAAAAAAAGAACAACAACCTAGGTAGAAGTAGTGTAAAGAATCACCATTTAAAGGAAAAATCACAAAGATTAGGACATGGGGTCAGGAACACCCATGATGGGAAGAATATGTTCATAAAGTGATTTATAAGACCTGAGCCTAATCTTCTTTTCACCAAGGTGATCCAGCCAGGCTGCCCCATAGCTAGATCCACACTTGTAAGCGGGTCGGTTAGTGGTCGCAGAATCCATACCTTTTACTGGCTTTGTTGGTGCATCAGTAGCCTGTATGCTGTCAGAATTTCGTGTTGATCCATCAGTTCCGTGGGTCTCCGTTCTCTCTAGACACAGATTCCCATTCAGCTTCCTGTCTGGGATCTAAGATTTTGATGGTGCGGCTCAGGGATACAGAAAAACATCTAATTCCTTTCTTAATGTTTAGATGATCCTCAGTCATTCACCAAGTACTTGTGTTAAATAATTAGACCCATCACTGCCATCTAAAACCTTAATGGCTAAATAAATTACAGCCAAGAAATATGGAGAAGCTAGAGACCATGGTTCTTAACCTTAACATGAAAATCTGCTCAAAGGCTTTAGACCACTTCTCCAGGAAAATGTACACATAGCGCTCAATTTCCTACAGTTTCAGCTGGTATGGGACCCCACTGAGCCCTGGGGAAGAGCCCATGCCGTAAATACTTGAAATGGCACACGATGAATCCACGTTCCGTTGTTAAGACAAGGCCAGCTCCATGGGCATGGCAAATCGCAAACTAGAAAAGTCTCACACTTGAGCAGCAATTTGACTAAAATTCCTGTGTAAATGGTCTCTCCTCCAAAAATAAGTCTTATGACTGAGAAGAGCAGTAATTCTTGCTCATTTCTGGTCTGGTGGGGACAACAAGAATATTCGAGGTGAACAAGAGGTCTAAGAAGCCATGTGCTTGAGCAGAATTGCCTCATTTTTTTTTGGTTTGGAAGCCAAGATACAACACGGCCACTTCCACAAAAACAGGTTAAGAGTTGTCCAGCCTTTCCGATGTTAACAAGTGAAATGCTCACGCCTGGCAACTGTAACCCAGTTTTCTGTACAAATAAATTTTAAATGTGTTCATTCCACTTCCTTTGCCACCGCTGCACATAATCATTTTTCTCTTTGTTCTTACAGACAGACAGCACCATCCGGCCTGGGGTCACAAGTACAATTAAATGTGGAGGTCCTCTGCCAAGAGCTGACGGCTAACATAATGAAATTAGAAAAGGTGACTCACATATTTCCTGGGCTGGGGCGAGAGCTGTGGTGTCTGCTGATGGCCAGACAGCACTGGTCACGCACGCAAACACCTACATGGGGTAGCAAGCAGCCTCCGTGAGCAGAGCCAGCCAGGGGATGTCACTGTAAATGGGAAAGAGTATTTTTTTTTATTTCCACCCAGAAACAGATTTCAGTCTCACTCTCCTTGTGGGTATGTCTTTGGCTTTTCCTCCTTAGAAAGATTTCTCTCTACCTGAAGGGCCCAATGGCCAGTGACCACTGACACAGGGCTCAGTGGAAGGGACAGAGTAGGAAGTGTCCTCACCACAGAGTGTGGCCCAGCTCTACCCAGGCTGATTGTTGCCATCCATGAAATACTGTGTTCAATCTGTTAGAACCCCTGCCAGATGGATGTCACTGTCCTGTCTGGCAGACAAAGAGTCCAAGTTCCGAGTAACTCGCTCAGAGAGACACAGAGAAAGTTGGCGGATCTGGAATGTGAACCAGGTCTGATTCCACAGTTGTGTTTGCTGCTCCTCACAGGCCAACCTGAGGCCTTGCCAGTAAACCACTGATGTACCTTTACCCTCTAGAAGTATCTAACCGTGGGGCAGTTTTCGAACAGATCTGTCCTAAAACCTGTGTCATTCTTCAAAGCCAGGAGGAGGGCGGACAGGAAGATTGGCACAGGAGAACCGGCCCAGAATTAAACCTAACTAACATTTCTTCACCTCTCCTTCCGGTATGTCCCTCTCTTCCATCTGGTGGTTTGTTTCTGCCCTAAACCTTAAGGAAGGGTTTCAGGTACAGGGGTTCAGTTTAGACTGTTACCACAAATGCCCAGCGTAGCTCTCCCTAACAGTGCAGTCATGTTTACCTGGTAAGAAATGTGAAATACAAATGAGCCAAATGATGTTGGTTTTGCTAGACTAAATGGTGGTTAGCACTCAGTTACTGAAGGATTGAGAGCCAAGGAGTTTCCAAAGTTCTGCTTGAAGCCAAAGGATGACCTAGAATTCCTACTGAATCTATGGACAAACTTGGAAACTTTTCCTCTTCTTAATCCAAAATCATCCTAGAGAAAGTCGGGTGTAGCCACCCAAAGAGTTTTCTTTTCTAAAATGTGAGTTGCTGAGAGTTGAAGAGATGCTTTTTATAAGTGTCCTGCCATGCTTACAGACAGCGGGTTTCCACGCTGGCCTGGAGAACAGGTTGGTCGTCATTCTCCATCCAGTTGCTCACACTGGTACACAAGGGCATTTTGGGGCCAGAAGCACCCAAATTCCTGCCCATCCCCTTTTGCACTCCCTCCCGCTCTGGTGCCAGGCCCAGCTAGGGCACCCCACGCTGTAATGAGGGACAGAACCTGTCCACAGGGGCAGACAGATGGCTGCGTCTCCTGCCTTCCGCCTCAACTTCTTCTAGAGCCCAGCTCCTCGGCTCGGAGGCCTGCACTCCCACCAGAAACCTTGGTCCCGAGCAGCAGTAGTAAAATAAGTGGGGTTAGGGCCCCAGTGCTGATGTGGAAGTTCTAAAAGTTGTAAGTTGCCACACGGCTCAAAGGACTCTGGGCATGAACAGTCCTGCTCTGGCTCACGGGTCCACCCCGCTCTAGAGGCCGTCCACAGCGGGGGGCGCAGACTTGAGGTGCACTCACAGCTGGCCCCCCCAGCTTTTACTTCCAGGTTTCTGTCTTTGGAGGTGTGTTTTAGATATTTTGGTTATCAGGACTTTATGTCCTCTTTTTCTTCCTCCGCACACCTGCTTTTCTGTTTACCTCTGGTCCTGTGGAGTAGGTAGGAAAGACAGGACAGAGGAACAGGTGGGGACGAAGGCAATGCCTTTTACAGGTCATGAGATAAATAAGTAAACTTACTGTCTGAGAGCCACAAATGGCATTCATGGCGGAGCAGAAGCGGCAGACCTCTGTTTTCACCCTTCGTCTGCCACTGAGAATGTGGCTGTTCTCCCAGTTCCGTGTGTGAAACCTGCGTGTGGTGGCGGAGGGCAGTGAGGGGAGCACCTGTGAAGTTCCCGGCACGGACGTCCTAGATGCTTTGCTCCTCACCAACCCTGGGTGCCTGCAGGACATCACAGACTGGTCTGTAGAAATAGATAGGGGCGCCTGGGTGGCTCAGTGGGTTAAAGCCTCTGCCTTTGGCTCGGGTTATGATCTCAGGGTCCTGGGATCGAGCCCCGCATCGGGCTCTCTGCTTGGCAGGGAGCCTGCTTCCTCCTCTCTCTCTGCCTGCCTCTCTGCCTGCTTGTGATCTCTGTCTGTCAAATAAATAAATAATATCTATTTCCTTTTTTAAAGATTTTATCTGGGGCGCCTGGGTGGCTCAGTCAGTGGAGCATCTGACTCTTGTTTTCAGCTCAGGTCATGATCTCAAGGAGGCTTGATGCAGCCCTGTATCCGGCTCAGTGGGGAGTCTGCTTGAGTTTCTCTCTCCCTCTCCCCCTCTCCCACCTTGTGCTTGTACTCGCTCTCTCAAAAAAAAAAAAAATATATATATATACACATATGTGTATATATATATATTCCATTTTATGTACACACACATATGTGTGTGTGTATCTTTTCTTTTCTTCCATGGGGTTCCCCACTCCCATCACCATATTGCTTGTTGAGAATTCCTTGCTCAGAATTCTTGGAAAGTTCACTTACTCAGCAAATATCTACTGAGCATGTTTCTAATGCCCAACACTGTCCTGTGGTCTCGAGATCTAAAGATACGTCACGGACCTGGGCCTGTGAAACTCAGTCTTCTGGGAAATGGGTAATATCTCATAGGAGTGTTCAACTTTGATGGTTTGAGTCAGACACCACAGGACACACATGCTCCATTAATCTCAGTTTCCCATTATCTGTATTTAGGTCATACTTGGTGCTATGAAGGCTTTTTGTTCTTTTCCTTCCATCTGATTTCTTTTGGTCTCCTAACATTTGCATCTTTGTGCCACTCTTCGTTTTTAGCCCCCCCCCCCTTTTTTTCATCTTAAAGTGGATTATCAACAGAGTTTATTTCCATTAAGCAGCATTTGCCTGATCTCAACTGAATGTGGGGGCCGCTTTTTATTCAACGTAGAATAGATTAATCTCAGACATTATCCAGATCATGGCAAATGGGCTCTTGGTAGAAGCCATTCTATTTAGGAACAGGAACTTCTCTCTTGTTATCTCCAGATACAAAACAACCTCCAGAAGCTGCTTGAGAATGGTGACTGACAGACCGGGTCAATCGTTCAGGCCGACATGATACCTCGCTCGCCCGTCCCTTTGGAGAAGGTGCTCCCTGAGGCATTTTGGTGGAGCGCTCCCTGCTGGCCAGAGGAGCTGGCGGACCAGCATCCCCAGCCATGTTTGCACTTGGAGGTCTCCAGCTCAGGAAGGGGGGAAGGGGGAATAATTCTGGTTCCTGTGCAATAAACATTGACCCTGTCTCTCTGAGGAAGTTTTCAGTGCTGCTGCCCGAACAAAACAGACCCATGTCTGGAGGTCTCTGAAGGGCCTGGTGGACACTCTTGGGTGATTGTGGTGCCACGGTTCTCGTGACTGTATCAGCAAACACACTCCACTCCGTGCCTTTTTAGTCCTTTCTGTGCTCCTTTTCTCTCCTTTACACCCCTCTGAACCAGCCTTCAAACGAAGGGAGAGATCATGTGCCAAAAACCTGATACGGTCCTTTCAAGAATGAGCCCTGGTTCTCCAAAACAGACTTGCCTCAAAGAACACCAGCATTTTTTTTTCTTTTCTGCCCTTCTGCTGTTCTGCTTTAAATCATCCTGCGTATCTTCTCAATTCAGTACAGACAAGAATATCACAAAGCAGATTAAAAGTACCCGTTTACATTGTGCTTTGTTCCTGTAACTAATACTTAATTAGACTGATCATCACCCGGCCCAGATCAAGAATCGATGACCACATGCAACTGAAGTACTAAATTAAACTTACTCAAAACCAAAACTAATCTTTAAACCAAAAAGTACAATATGATTTGATACTGGATGGAAAACCCTGAATTTTTAAGTTTATAGGTGGATGATGTTAGTTTTGAAACAGGCTGCCTACATGGAATGCTGAAACCCCTCCCAGCATGACCAATGAATGCTTCTCTCTCTTGCTGACCAGAAGAAGTAACTGGTGGTTTCCTAACTTCTATTTACCATATGGGTTGGCTGGTTTTTATTAATAATTATTTAGGTATCATAAGATCTGTAATATAAATGATATTCTGTTTCTGTTGGCAATGCATTTTATAATCATTTCTATGAAATGTACTTTGTTTAATCAGATAAGCTAATAAATGAATTGGTTACATCATTTATATTTGTTAGCCTGTTGGACAAGAACTGTGCCTGGTGCACCCACCCCACCCCCCGGCTTTTAATAAATACTCATTGGCTAAAATGCCCTGCTAACACTGTGTTCTGTCAGTTTGTAAACTCATTTAACTAAGACAATGTGGCCTTTTTAACTGCCTCTCCCCTCCTCTCTACTGCTTCCAACTCACCCATACTTCTCTCTTCCCAAGTATCTATTTCAAAACTTAAAAATAATTTAAATTCTAGGGTGGCAGTGATAGAGGGGAAAGAAAATGAGCTTTTAAATCATAAAAATAATGCTTTATTCTTGGGTTCATGTTTTATAAGCTGTGTGACCTGGAGATCTTTGGCCGTTTTCCCCTGTTTTATGTATGTGACTAAAAGTACCAACAAAAAGTGTCACTGAGAGGATCAAATGTGATATCTCTAGAGCCCATCAGTGTCATGCCAATAGTATACTCTCATAACAAGGGCCATATTCATTATTTTTCAAAATGTTCTCATGTCTGACATTCCAGTTTCATAAAAGTTCTAAGTCAGTATAGTCCAAACCCATTAGGAATTCAAGAATGGGTAAATTACCTACACCTACACAGAGAAATTTTACAATGTATGAAAAGCTTTGTATACCCAATATATTAAATACCCAATGTATTAAAAGGTTTAAATTTCACAGTAAAGAAAACAAAACTGAAAGGCAACCTTCAGAATAGGAGAAGATATTTGCAAATAACACATCCAATAAATAGTACCTAAAAAATATAAAGAACTTAGACCCCCCCAAAAGAAGACACCCAGATAGCCAACAGACACATGAAAAGATGTTCAACATCACTGACCGTCAGGGAAATGCAAAGAAAAGTACAATGAGCCATCACCTCACAACTGTCAGAATGGCTAAAATAAGAAACAAGAAACAACAGGTGTTGGTGAGGAAGTGGAGGAAAAAGAACCCTCCTGCACTGTTGGTGGGAATGCAAACTGGTGCAGTCACTCTGGAAAACAGTACGGCGCTTCCTCAGAAAGTTAAAAATACAACTACCCTATGATTCAGGAATCACACTACTGCATATTTATCCACAGTGGATACAAAACCACTTATTTCAAAGGGATACATGCACTCCTGTTTGTAGCAGCATTATTTACAATAGCCAAATTATGGCAGCATCCCAAGTGCCCATTGAAAGATGAAGAAGTGATAGATACAGAGAGACAGTGATATGTGAGAGAATAATACATATATATCACTGTGTGTATACATAACAATGGAATATTATTCAGCCATAAAGAAGAATGAAATCTTGCCATTTGCAATCACATGGGTGGAGCTAAGTGAAGTCTGTCAGAGAAAGACAAAACCACATGATTACACTCATATAAGGAATTTAAGAAAAGAACACAGGGAAAAAATAAAACAGAGACACCAAGAAAAAGACTCAACCCCTGAGAACAAACTGATGACTACCAGAGGGGAGGTAGGTGGGGGGGATGGGTGACATAGGTGATGAGGATTAAAGAGTACACTTACCAAAAAAAAATTAAAGATCTGAATTTCAGGAATTGGCAATCTCTCTAGGATTTTATCCTGAAGCAATAGGCAGAAATCTAAGATTTATACACAAGAATATTCTTTGAGAAATTATGACTGCAAAATATTACAGATTTTAAGCATTCAATGGCAGAACAATTAAATCATATAACTGTGGAGAACTGTCAAAGCATTGTCTAAGAATGGCATCAAATATACCATTAAAAAGTGAGGCACAAAACTATATGGTATGATCATAATTTCTGAAGAAATTCCTACATATATGTGTCTATACACATATATATGTACATATGGAAGGACACACACACTGACATTGTCTATCTTCTCTAAATGTGGTACAATGAGCAGTTATTACCTTTTTTTAATCAGAGAAGTTGATCAGAAACATTACATGGCTCTCAGCAGGGAATGAGATCTTACTATTGTGCCCACCCTGCCCAATAACACGGCCCCCAGTTCTGTACCACGAGTGCCTTCTTTAGTTGTCGTTCCAACATCCACTACAGTTTTTTCCCAAAGAGAGAGAAAACACATTATTTTTAAATAGAGTGACTATTTTTGCTCTGGGTATGCTGTTATTTGTTTCTTTTGGTTTGGTTTGCTTTTGTTTTGTTTTCTTTTTCGTTAGTAGCTCCTAAATCTAAATCTGCTACAGATGGATCTGAATGATGATGTCCACATACCTGTCCAATATGCAGGTTATAGGCCTGCTTATTAAATCCAAGGAAGCATGCGGGAGCAAGCATCTGGGATTTTTCAGCCTCTACCACCAAGATTAAAAATGTAGGGAATTCTATGGGGTGCCAGGCTCAGTGGGTTACACTCTGCCTTCGGCTCAGATCATGATCCTAGGGTCCTGGGATGGAGCCCCGCGTCGGGCTCTCTGCTTGACGGGGAGCCTGCTTCCTCCTTTCTCTCTGCCTGCCTCTCTGCCTACTTGTGATCTCTGTCAAATAAATAAAATCTTTTAAAAAAGAAATGTAGGGAATTCTAAAGTAGAAAAGAGTTCCAGACATTGAGAGGTCCCAATAACAGCAAATGTTCACCATATACCTTGCGTTTTAAAACTTTAGCATTACCTTTCAGAAAAAAACAACAATTTAAAAAGAGATTAACTGGTTGTATTTCTACTTCTGTGCATCCTAATATTTTCATGTGTGATGAAATATATACTATTTGGAATATATGAGCAGAAACCAGCAACTTCACATAAACTAAAAATGCAATTATTATTGACCTCTCAAGCTTTGTGAATACTTAAGATAATTTCCTATGTAGACTCTATAACACTCCAAGGCATTTCCCAGGTATTCGTTTATGCAATTCTTTGAAAACATCACAGATGTATTTTCCTTTAAGATTTTATTTTTAGGGGCGCCTGGGTGGCTCAGTGGGTTAGAGCCTCTGCCTTCTGCTTGGGTCATAATCCCAGGGTCCCAGAATTGAGCCCCGCATCGGGCTCTCTGCTCAACAGAGAGCCTGCTTCCTCCTCTCTCTCTGCCTAGTTGTGATCTCTGTCTGTCAAATAAATAAATAAAATCTTTAAAAAAAAAAAAAAGGATTTTATTTTTTATTTTTAAATAATCTATACCCAAAGTGGGGCTCAGACTCACAACTCTGAGATCAAGAGTCCCACGCTCCTCCGCCTAAGCCAGCCAGGCACATTTGGTTTTTTGTCTTCCATAACTCATCCTAATTCATAAATTCATGGCATCAGACTGAAAATGTTCCCACTTAAGTGTGAATTTTCTCTTTCATGGTTTTATGTGTCTTAATAGTGAAATTCAAGTGATGCTCTCCTTGTTTGTTTCTGGTGACCTGAAGGTCACGGACACTAACAGATTATAGATAGCTCAGGTAATTTTACTCTCAAGCATTATTTTTTTTAAGATTTTAATTTTAGGTAAAAATACACCCATTGTGGGGCTTGAACTCACAGCCCTAAGATCAAGAGTTACATACTCCACTGCCTGAGCCAGTGAGGCACCCCTCAAGCATTTTTTTAAGTCAAAATTCTATACCCTGGTAATAGTTATGCTATCATTTGGGATCCATAGCCTGATCGTCTCACAAAGGAGCCCAGTGGTATAATGTTCTTTTTAATGCCTCTTTTAAACCTATCCCTACTAATAATGTTAATATTAGCAGTTTTTAACTAAACTAAAAAATTAGGGACATTAAATGAAGCATCTCTGACCACTGAGTTTCTACCATCCTTTGTGTTTTCCAAATGCTAAGCCTTACCAAAGCAATCTGTAGATGTAATGCAATCCCCATCAAAATTCCAATGCCATTTTTCACAGAAATAGAACAGCATGGAACAGCATGCAAATAACATTTGCATGGAATCACAAAAAAACATATAGCCAAAGCATCCTGAGAAAGAACAAAGATGGAAGAAGCATCATGCTCCCTGATTTCAAACTGTATTATGAAACTATAGTAATCAACACAGTATGCTATTGGGATAAAAACAGACATATGGATGAACGGAAAAGATTAAAGAGTCCAGAAATAAACCCATGCATATATGGCCAGTAATTTATGACAAAGGAACCAAAAATTTATCATGAAAA